TCTCCGTGTAAGTAAGGAATTATCTGCTTGGTGCTGACTTCGTTTTTTGGGCACTGCAAACCCCTTACTAAGGAAAGTGATTTGTATTTAAGAGCACAAGCACTAACCTTCACTGAAGTCCAGCGAAACACTGAGCACTTGCAGAGGACAGCCACTTCCTCTCTCATCTGAGAATCCTGCAAGAACGTTTGAGGTTTGACTTTCAAAATCATTGTCCACTGGCACAGCTCTGCAGACAGTGGAGTCAGTGAGAGCTTTATTCCAGTGGGAGCAGTCAAGCCTGAACTGAATGCCCTGCTTTATATGTCAAAGTTGCAGGAATGAGTTACAAGAACAAAGCTGTTTGAAATAATTCAGGGTGTTGGAAATAGAGAATGCTCAGCTTCCATCAGCGAATGATGCACAAAACCCAACAAATATTCTCAGAAACAGAATCACAAAATGCTGTCTATGTCTGTAGTGGCATGTGTGTGCTACTCTGCTGGAAAGAGCAGAGGAAACAAAGAAAAAAAAGAAAAGAAAACGTGGCAATTACAGATTGCCAGTGTAAGTGCCACCAGCATGAAGGGCCTCTGGGAGCTGAAATCAGGCTCAAAGGGCACTCAGGGAGCATTTAAGGCCAGAGCTCAGCCATCAGCTCAGAATCTGCTGTTATTAATATGGGCTGCGGTATTTCTAAGGTTGCATTTAAATAAATGGAGCAAACCTAAATGGCATTTTTACTGAAAGGAGACACCAGGAGAGAGTAAGTAATAAAAAGCAGCGTAGACTGGGCATTCACTGTGTGGTGGAGCTGCACATGCTCCCTGGAAGGAGCTGTGAGCACTCCTCTGGTAGTATTTTCTCTCGTGTCAGCTCTGTCTCTGAACTCTGGGCTCTGTTCGTGTTCACTAACCCCAATTGTGCTCCAGGGTGTTCCTGCAGTAGCATAAAGGATGACCTCTTGTATCCAGCACCTTTTTGCATGGGTGGAGTGGAGAGCAGCTCTCCGTGAACCTTCAGCTTGTGCTTCTCCATGCTGCTTCCTCTCAACGCTCCTCTCTCTTTGGCGCTGCCTAACTCTGACTCTGGCTGTCCATGGGGTTTTCCTTTGTGCTTGATCTAACCATGTGGTAGAACAATACAAATGGAACATGGTTCTGTCAAGCACCATGGAAGGCTGCATACTCCCTGCAGCATGGCATGCCTGGATACTTCTGCCGGGGCAGAAGCATCGAAAGGTGAGAGATTCCCTTTCCCTTTCCGCACGGGGATGGTGGAACAGGTGAAGTGTTGCTAACCAGGCTCCCGGGCACTGCCAGGGAGCCACAGTGATGTTTGCACAGACTTTCCACAGGCCTTGCATGCAGAATAACCATTTCTAAGTAATTAATCTGTTCAGTTGATCTCACAATGAAGGAGTCGGGCATTTTGTTGGTTAATAATACTCAAGGGTGATTCCGGCTGTAACTACAGAGATGAAAAATCACTTTTGTCTCCTTACCTTGTATTTAATGTGAGCTGCATCTGTCTGTTTGAGCTGTCCAGTGAATCCTTCCACTTGAGATACACTTTGGATGCCATTTCTGCAGCAAGACACCTGCCACTCAGTGTAACTGTGGAACTCCTCTTAATGTGCTGGCATTGCATTGTGAACAAATATAATGCAAAAAAACTTTAAAAGAGTTTGCAAAGCATTGTCTTTCATCTCTTGAAAATGACATGGCTAACATGGCCGGTATGGAAACATCACTATCCAATAATTCCATAGGGCAAAGCTGAGTCAGCAAATCCAAATGGGCCGTTTTAGCTTTGACAGCTTAGGTAAGATCTTCAGAATACTTCTGCCTAGCCTCCCCTACACAGAGATAATGACACCTATTTGTAAAGGACTTTGAGAGGCTCATACAGAAGTTTTCCTATACTGAAATATTGCCTTGTTGTGCAAATTTGTCACATATCTGTTGTGGAGCTGTCAGGAGAAGGACATCCAGGGTTCTTAGATTTTATCTGTAGTTACTGATAAAAATTAAAGCTAGCAATGTGGAATTGGGACAAAAAAATGCACTTCTTTTTTATTCCCTGAGAGAATTGTGATCTCGTGGTTCTGTGACGAACTTCTGAGGTTCCTGGGTTCTTCTTTCAAGTTTTAGACCAACTGATCTCAATGGTTATATTTTTGGTGCCAAATTTGAGGCAGCTGGATCATTTTTCTAGAATGAATGTGTCAGGTCACTTTTCAAGCCTTGTTGAGACAGCCTGATTTGTAGCAGAACAGATCTTCCAGAACTCCTTTTAGAAGTCCTTTGGGCAAAGCTAAATTTTAAAAACTGAAATCAGGTTTTTCTAAACAATGCTTTAAAAGAAGAATAGAACAAAAAGGTATTTCTCTCTGTTGCCTGATTCGCCTTGTGGTTATCAGAAAGGCACATAGAATGTTTGAGCACTTGGAAATATGATGTTTTTATATCTCAGTGCTGCTGTTCTGTAGAATGCCACAGTGTATTTGTTTTATGATAATAAGAAATCACAGTACCTGATAGTGGTGTCACAGTGGTTGTAAAATAAAAATGTTTCAGAGTAACTAACAAATCAAATAACCTCAGCTGCCCTCAGTTACACACAGGCCTTGCTGTTGCCTTGGCTACTTGTTTTACAGCAAACTTTAATTCTTCTTAATTTGGGGAATTGCTAGAGACTAGAGAGCAGAGGTCATGCATCTCTTCTCTGTGGCTTTCCACGAATGATTTTATAGTGTGCAAGAAGTATTCCATGCCTGTGGTGGTGAACTGGTGCTTCCTGAGTCCTGTTGTGTTCTCTCAGAGCCCAGCAGTCAGGAGGAATGGATATATGTGCTTAAACAGTTCTGCAAGCAGATGGCTGAATTTCACATTGCTATCCCAGATGGGAATATCTTAATAGAGCAGCCACCTGTCCAAGTGATCTCAAGGCTCAGGTCAAATAGTAAATTTTATCTGGTCTTTGGCAGGTGATTCCTGCTGTCTCTCAGGCTAAGAGATGACTGAGTACTTGCAGAGCACATACAGACTGTTGATTACTTTTGACTCACTGATTACCTGAGTAACTCTTATTTAAACTCAAAAAGAGGAGGAAAACAAAAAAAAGGAGAAAAGAGAAAGACAGAGAAGGAACAAAAAGTATGAAGGTGAGCTGAGAGGCCTGTCTCAGTGGTGGTAGCTGTGGGCAGATGCCCAGGCAGCATCAACTTGTTAGAGCTGCAGTGTGCAAGGCTGTGTGCCTCACCATCAGGAGAGTGGGTGCCAACTGTGTTTACCCTATGTAACTGCATGTTGCTTGTGAGTATTTTTTTCAACAAGAGCTTTTACTAGGAAACTTAGAAGTACATCTTCAAGGGTTAAATTGGGGATTTCCAAAACACTTTCTGATCACTGGAGTTATTCAATGTGTACTGTAATTGTAGCAGTTTTAATAAACTCTGGTTCTGATAACTGTTTGTCTTTGGTATTGTTTCCAAGGAATCATAAACAGCCAAACATTCTGGCTACCAAGCTTGGAATGCCTAGGACTGGAAATCAAATGTTAGACTTTTGTAAAAGGATAAGAGTTTAAATTATAGTGGTGTGGGAAAAATCTTAGACTGTGTTTTTATAATGCTTTAAAATGCCCAGTTGTCCTAATACTTTAAGTGCTGTGCTGTCAGGGAAGTTGCACTTTAGATGTATAATTTATAATAAGCACAAAAGCCAGCAAAGTATTTAGCACCACTGAAGTAGTGAGGTACAAATCTATATGTCAATGTTCTCATATTCCAACTTGGAATTACAAAACTAAACCAAAGTGTGTCTGTGGGATCAAAGTATTAGATTGCCTGTAGAATTGCTTGTTTTCACTGCATCACCCTGTGGAGATAATGCCTAACATAAATTAATATAATAGTGGATTTAGGAATGGTCTTTTTTCTTTCAGAAAATAGAACATGGTCATAAAATGGGCAGTGGTATATTTATCAGTCTGGGAAGGGGAAGCAGGTGATGAATGTCATCAAGTCTCTATAAACAAATTTCAGCTTGGGTTTAAGTTTTTGTTGATGTTTTTGGGTTCTTAAAACACTTCTTCAGCTCCTTTCTCTGAGAAAGTCTTGTAATTGACTTTTAAAAATCTGGAAAACTTGAAAAATGCTTCTTGGTAATTACAATCCCTGGGCCTTGCACAGGGTTCCTGCAATGGTTCTGCTGCTTCCATTATGAAATACGAAGTGAGTGGGCAGGAATTGCATGGTGGGGGTTTGGCAGCACTTTGCTTACATACACATTTATTAATCCTCCTGGTTCCTTGAAGCACGGAGATCGAGTTTCCAACCTGCTGCTATTAAACGAGAAAAACCAAACCTGAAAAGGACAGATTAGTTCACTGAGTCTAATTGGAAAAGCATTTCATTAGAATGGGTCAAAAACCCAGTCAAAGAGGTCTGGCAATCACGGTGTAATGGTACATCAGGGAGTGCTTCTCACTAAGTATGCTCTACCCATTCCTTAATTAAAATGAAAATGATTTAAACTGCTATTACTTTCTTTGCTGTTTGTTTAACATAGTTAATAAAGATATCTAATTGTTGGAAAGTTGACAAGGTTGTCTAATAAAAGATTGCTCTAAAAACCAGCTCTAATAGATGAGGTCTGAACATTTGGGACTTTTAAATGATATAAAGTCTTTTGTCATTTGAATTCTTTCATGAGATGCCTTTTCTTTGTTGCTGGACTAAATTCCAAATGGGAAAAAAGTGACTTTGCTGGAAAATATCTTAACAGGTAAGCTTGTTAGACAAGGAATTAGTCTGTTAAGGGGAGAGTGAAAAACCAGGGACAGGTCTTGGGGAATAATTTTAAAAATTGCTGAGCACAAGTCCTTGGCAAGTATTAAAACTGTGTGCAGGAGCTGGGGGATGACAGGAGGCAATGCTGAGGATGGATTCCATGATACCTCTGGTTGCTGCAGCTATCAACAATTGTTTGCTAGAATATATTTTCCTTTTATTGCAGGGTCAGAGGATTACAGGAGTAAATTCACTGGGAAGTGTTTCATGGACCTTGTGTGTCCCGAGAAGTGTCGCTGCGAGGGGACAATCGTAGACTGCTCGAACCAAAAACTCACCCGCCTGCCCACTCACCTCCCTGAATACACCACTGATCTGTAAGTGTGCCTCTCCCCGCTGAGCATACTGGCTTTTCTAACTTTCAAATGCTGTAAAAGGGACTCAGGTAATTAAAGGCACCTCCTACTTTTATCCTTGTGTGAAAATAGGAAAGCTAGTTTTATTTCAGAGTTGCACCACAGCTCTCATTTCCTGAGCATTTATGCCAGCTGTGGGGGTGAGAAAGGAGCCACAGCCCCGTGCACCAGCCATGTGTCCTCCTGCAATTCTGGCCAGGCCCAAGCTGTGTCCTTCCTTTCCAGTCTACCCCTGAGTCCTCTGCCTTTGCACCTGGTCATTTTTATTTAAGAAATAGTTTTAACCACTTGAGTGAATCTGTGTTCGGGAGCTTATTCCATCTCAGCATTGTCTGCTACTTGGGTGGAACGGGTCTTATTAAACTAATGTAACTTCAAGAAATTTGAGCATGAGATAATATTTTTATTGCTTATCAACTGAAGATTCTGGTTCTTTTCTTAAATTAGTAGCCCCTTCAAACAGAATTTTCTTTTTTTTGAGTTAGTGTTGTATTTATTGTCCTTACTCTACGTAAAAGCTCATTAAAATTATTGATATGAAGTCAAGAAAAAATACAGCAAAGACTCTACATAGCAGAATGGAGCTATGTGTGATCAGAGAAGGAATTTTACATCCCAGGCCTGCCAAGACAGTGGGCTTCACATTCATTTTGAAGATCAGCAGACTTTTATGGGAAAGGACCTGAAATCAGTGTCCATCTGGTTACGTGGACCACATCTCCAATTGTGTGTCTCATGTAGGAGAATGCACAACAGAGGTTCAGTGACACAGATGAGGTTTGTGTGTCATAGATCAGGTCAGTAATTCCTTACCCCGTGCACTGGAAGATGAAGGGGCTCTGACACTGTCCTTTGGCATTATGCTCTGCAAGGCTTCCTAAGCTTTTACTGTAGAAAGTCCTCTATGTCCCTTTTCCTTCCAAGCTAAACTCTTTTATCTGTGGGAGTCTGAGGGAGATGGCAAAGAGTGCCTTGCTTAACAAAGGTCATGGTTCTCTGTGTGGCAGCCCTGAATGTCACAGGGATCTATCTACAGACAATGTAGACTAATGTGAAGCATTAAATATCTTTTTGTTTGTTCTTCTCAGGCGTCTGAATGACAATGATATTTCTGTTTTGGAAGCTGTTGGACTCTTCAAGAAATTGCCCAACCTCAGGAAAATGTAAGTCTGAGTTGCTTGTTAGAATACATGCAGCCTTGGATTGGAAGGAGGGAGGAAGGGATGAGTTTTTTATAGTTTAGTACTGCAGTAGTAGAAATCACTTTTTTAATGTGAGTTTAACGAAACTGAAAGAGTTCCCTGTTGGATGGATGGGCACAGTTAAACCATAGTGACAGATGAAGATCCCTAGGCTGACATTTCAGTGTGTTTTTAAGGCTACATTTCTTAGTCTTTCACTCATAAAGACTGACAGGAATTCTGTCCCAGAGTTTATTCCAATGTATGCTTATTGTTAGAGATGATTATGACATTTAGCATTTCAGTTTTGTCTCTCAAATGTATTGTGTGCCTCCAGCTGTGGTGTGGTTGTTTCAAACAGTCAAAGGAAAATAATATTACAAGATGTGGACGATGGCAGCTTCTGGTGATCATTATTGGTTTAGAGAGGAGAATAAATTAGCAAACATATAGATCAGTTGTTCGAATATAGCTGTATAATTCTGCTGACAGTCCTGGCATAGTGCATTGTATATATTTGATAAGAGCAGCGTTTTGGGAAGAGAATAATATGTCAGATACCTGCTGATAGTCTTCAAAATGGATCCTTCTGAAGTTATTTAAAGTTTTAACCCTATGGACCCATTGCTAATGTCTCATTAACTGTTTCCTTTTAGTAAGGTTTTATTGTCTGGATCAAACAATTTAGAGAACCCAACCAAACCAGGCAATTTGTTCTGCATTTGTTTCACGTGGTTTCTGCCATCTGGAGCTTCCTGGCCATTTGAATCCGTGTGAGATCTCAGGGGCTTTGGAGGCAACTGTGTTGGGATTCTTTTTATTTCTGTAAGAGTTTCAGATGCAGCTCTGCAGGCTTGGGGTGGGATGGTATTTGTGTAAGTGCAGGCCGTCAGACTTGAAGAACTAATCACAAACATTTGCCTCATGTTTTATGAATGATCAATAATTTGTAGCTACAGTGCACTCAGAAAATGATGTTGACATTGTTAAGTGCTCTGTTCCCTGTGTAAGTAGATAGTAAACAGGAATGAAAAATGCATGCTATATAAGTGTACACACAAACTGGAAAGCATCTATCCTCATCAAACCTTCAGGATTTATGTTTTGAAAATTGGAATAATTTGTTTTTATTTAAAACTTACTGTAGGGAAGTGCAGTGCTGTCCTTCCTGTCCCCATCGATCACTCAGAGGAAGGGGTGCCTCGACAGGAGCTGTATTTTGGGCATAAATCCAGCATGAAACCATTGTGAGAGCATTTTTAAGAGTTTGTTTCCTGTGAAACGAAAGATTCTTTTATCTGTCCATGGCAGCTGCTGAGATCAGAGGTGTGCAGGAACAGGTCAAACTCATGGCAAAAAAACTGCACCCTACAAAGTGTCTCTTGCTGGGTTTTAGTGGCAGCCTCCAAGCAGAGACTCTTTAGGAAATCTTGGTAGCTGAGCTCATTTCTTTAGTTCTGCCTGATGCTCTAAAGAAGTTTCTCCATTTTAATTAAAGGGATTTTCTGAAAATGTTTTTTTTTCATATGAGCATTCCAACATTTCAACCACAGTTTTACTCAGTGGCCTGATCCTTAAAAAGCCAGATTAGACTTTTCCTGTTTTCTTCAATTTTGTGAAAAGAAGGGGTTACCAGGAAGAAGCAAGCAAACAAACACCCCTTTCCTTCCATGTTATTATTTTGCTTTTACTAAGCCAATTCCTTCTGCTAATGAAAGGCCCCTGTCCACCGTGCAAGAAGGGAAATGTGGGAGAATGCTCAGATGGGATTGCTGCTGCTCATGGCCCTAAAGCAGCAGCTCTGTGTGGCAGGGCTGCCAGGCACAGGGTGTGCACTGGGGCTCACTGCTGCTCTTAAATCAGAGAGGAACACTGATCAAATCCCCATTTTTTAGTGTGTATAAGGGACAAGTAACCTATTAGTTGATTGACAGTATTGACTCTCTCATCATATATTCCTTGTCTACTTAATTGTTAAAGGCAAAAAGCAGGTGGAGGAATCTGTCTGGAGATTGGATTGCTTCCCTGGCTGAAGAAAACAGCCCAGAGCTTTGCAGTGGCAGGGCATTAACCTAAACAATATAAATTTTTTTCTTTATTTTTTCTCTGAAATACTCTTTTTTTCCAAAATGAATCTGAATATCTGTAATATGGATATCTGAAGGGTATTTGAATGCATGTCCTCTGGTTGTCTTTCACTTGAGTTTAGGACTAGTGACAGATCCATGCCAAAAAACTTTGCAAAGAAACTTCATTTCAGAGAACCATGGTTCCTCTGTGGCTGGTAAAGCTCCAGCAGAATTCCAGAGAGAGACAAAATGATGGAAAAACAAAGGGAAGTGTCAGACCACCTTTGCAATAGGTGGTAGCACCAACCCCACCTCTAATATGTAATTAGCTGTTGTGGTGTAATTTGTCTGTAAATAGTCCTCCTAAGCTGAACCTTACTGTATGATGTGTCAGGCTAGGATTTAATACATTTTAATGCAAAACAAAATTGAATTCTTGATATAGAAATTTAAAGGTCAGAGATACATAATGCAATGTGATGCTACATTTTACTTAGTAATTAAATTGCTATTATTACCCTGCTGGTTTTTAAAAGGTTAACATATTTGCATGTGCCTTTAAAAAATAATCAATTTCAATAATTAGCTGCAAAGTCCTGTATACATAATGCTACTTTCATAATCTAAATTTTAATCATCTTTATGTTTAATGCTTTTTACAGTAGAATAAAAAGATTGGTGTAGATTCTTCTAGAGAGGTCTAATCCAATCCAGAAGTAATTTACTGGGTTCTGCAGTGACCTCTGTTTTGCTTTCATTGTGTTTTTACTGTATTGCTTTACCTGATCTTGCAAGTGTAAGGGGAAAGCTGAAGTCTCTGAAGGCTGGAGCCCCATCCCACTGACTTCAGGCTCCAAGGACTGTGTTGCTGATATTTTGCAGTGGTTAGCAAAGAGCACTTTGAACCTGCCTGAAGTGCAGGAGAAATGCAAGGATGCGTTTCTGAGCTCTTGAAGAGTGGGAGCAGCTCCAGGACTTGGATTTCTGGGGGTATGCTATCCCCAGGATATAGAAGGGCTCCAGGACCTGCTGCCCTCCAGCCATGGGAAGCTCCTGCCTTTCACGGGGAATTATATTTCCAGGGGGAGATCTTCTCACTCAACACATCAGGGTCTCAGGTAGGGAGAGGGGAGACATCCCCATTCACAGAGGTGAAGGTTTGACTTTCGTGGAAGGGAACAGATCTTTTCTTGCAGCAGCTACCAAATTCAGCATGAAACAAACTCTGGGAGCCCCACCACTCCCTGGAAATACCTCAGGTTGTTGATTAGAGGAATAACCTTTGAGTGCCTGGGGACTCCATGGCAGTGGGAGCCTGCAGGGGTCTCCTGGCCATGACAGGTTCAATGTCCAAAACCCCCCTGGTATGTGACTCAGAGGGAGCACAGAGATACCCTTGCTTGCTGAAATGGTTGCTGACCCACAGGCAGAGGTTGTAGCCCCCACATTCAATCTCTAGAGCTTGCCCACTCTCCTGTGCCTACAGGAAATCAGTGATCATTCCCACTGAGGTCCCAGCAGCTGTTTCTTCAGGGAAAAAAATCAGCAAAGAGCTCACATTCAAAATAGAAAGGTGAACTGCCATACTTTGTGCAGTGCTAGGGAGAAAGGGGACTGACCTCTTCTCTTGAGAACAAGAGTAATAAAAAATATTTACCTCAGAACCTGAAAGGGTCATCTAACAGTTCATTCAGTTAAGTCTTGCCAAAGTTACAATGTGAACATATAATATGGTCTTTATTACAAGAAATGTCAGGCTGTCTTGCCAATAGCTGGTACTGCCAGCCCACCTCCAGCATGTAATTGCCTTTGGAGGCTTAATTTGGCTGTAAGTATTTCTGCTAGATTGAACTGTATGGAGTGTCAGACCAGGATTTGAACATTTTATATGTAAAATAAAATTGAATCATGATAAAGTTTGCAAACTAGAAGTCAGTTTCAAAACCAGTATATCAAGTTTCTTGGGTAGGCAGAAATAGTTTGTGCCCTTGGAAACAGCTGTTACCTGTTGTTCCTTCCCCTAAGCATGAATTTTGCCATGGTAAATGAGGTTGCAGTCATCTGTCACTGGTTATACAGAAGCAGACTTTATTTTCTGGAAGTCGTGTTGTGGAGCATGCTGTGGCTCTTGTGCTCATGGTGTTTTTTACAGCAAGGCCATCAGTCTGCTCTGCTGGATGAGTGTAGGAGTGTCACTGGGTGCAATTCACTCTGTACTATTGCAGACTTTCAGTGCCATGCAGCTCCTGAAAAGAGCTCACACCATCAAAACCAGCCAGACTATTGATAAAGGCTGTAAAACCCTCTCAGCATCCTCCAGAGGAATGCAGCAGCACTGGGCTTTTCCTCCTCACATCTACTTAAAGATTCCAAACACATCTCCAGCAGACAGAAATATTCTAGGGAAACCCCACTCAGAAAAGGCAGTTTTTCTGATAAAACTGCAGGGTTGGAGGTGAGACCAAGCAGATCCCTTGTGGCTGGGCTGGGCTCAGGGGTTTTCCAGATGGAAAGGTGAGTCAGTAACTCAGCAGTGGGGAGCTGAAATGCTGAAATTAACCCAGCAGGTACAGCAGGGTGAATGCTTCTGTTAAGCTGAATAGAATCCAGCTTGCTCTGTGCTGAAGTTATGAGATCAACAGAAAGAGCATTAATATAAACTTCAGCTGTAAAGTAAATAAAATGCAACCGAAAAGTGAGCTGTGTGAACAATGTCACCTTGATAGCTCCTTGATCTCTTCATTTCCTATTCACAGCCCCCCATAAAGCAGACCCAGGCTTTCTGAAAATTTATTTTAACCTCTTGCCCAAAGTAAAAGTCTGGAATAGAATTAAATGTTATCACCAGAGTAAATCAGGAAGTCCTTATGGAATAAGCCCTCAGGAGTTACCAGGCTGAGGTCATGCTGTCTCCCATTTGGGTCCTGCCAGAGGGCATAGGAATCTCAAAACTCAGTCTCTTTTCCACTGTCTTCCAGTATTTCAAGAAGAATTGTGGTAGAAGCTCAGTGTTGCAAGAGGATGGGGCTTTTGTGTAGTGGGAGTTTGCTATAAACTGTCAGTAGGCTTTTTCTGATAAAAAATTCTTTGTCAAGTGTGATGATCACATATAAAAAATCTTTTAGAACTGGGAAGGATGGAGTTAGAGGTTTCTGAGTTGCAGAGCAGGCAGAAGGTTACAATGCTTTCATTTTTTAAGCTTTATACCAGCTGATTATTTTTCCTGGTAACTCTAGACTGAAAAGTACGTAATTTCTCAAGTTTATTATTCTAGCTGTTCAGACTTTAGGAGGAAACTTTTTTTTTTGGTGCCTGAATGTTGTCATCTACCACTTTTTTTTGTTGCATTCTGATATGAGAAACTCTAATTCTGGGAGACAAATAACAAAATCCAGGTTGGCAGAACATCTGCTCTGACAATACTCCAGGCAGGATTGCAGGGCTGTAACATCTTTACCTATTTGTTACTGCAGAGTTTCTCTTTTCTCTGCCTTGCAACTTTGATTTCAACATAATCTTGCATTTTCAAATCTTCTGCATGGGAAAGGTATTTATAATTGGCTTCTTCCGAGACTGCTGGCATATTTATGGGTAATTTTGTTGTTGCTGAAAAGATCAGGCATTATTAACTCAAATGACTGGAGTTGCCTATCTGCTGAAGTCCTTTGGCAGCAATTAAAATTCAGATGTTTGCACTGTATAAAGGTGCCAATTCCTTTGCAGATCGTAGCCATTTTTTGTCTCCAATATTTGCTCTTTTTTGCCTTCGGTATCCAATAGACCGTAAAAATTGCCCCCCATGTTTTAATATATATACCTAAATATCTTTTATATGGTAAAAAGTAAGTAATAAAACTTTGTAACTACAAGGGTAGGTCAGTTTGCAATCTGCAAAGTCTTTGTCTATTACAGTCACTCACCCTCCCTTCTCCCCACAAACATTTTCTTACTTATCCTGTGCAAATATGCATCGTGGCATGATCTGTACCAGGAGGGGCATCTTTGGGAGCATTTATTTATGCCAACATTCAAAAGAGATGCTGAGCTATAAACATTTCCACTAGAGAAATAGCTGAGCCCCAAAATTAAATGCATATGCCAGAATATCCTCCCTTGACTTGCTTTGACACTGAACATAAACTCTTCATGTGAGCGTTAGCACAAAGCACTAAACTTCTGGAAAGAGAAATCTGCGTGTAAGTATTTCTATATGTTTTTATGTTATTTTTGGCTGATTGCTGGCGTGCTCCTATTCTTTCTGATCACAAGAAAGCACAAGAGGTGATGGGCCACATGCTGTAGGGCCCTCTCTCTGACAGTTGTTCAGCAGACATAAACCAGTGTACTCCAGTTTCCCACATGAAACATATTTCTGAGGCTCTTTTTTTTTTTTTTTTTATTTTATTAAGTGATGACTTCTGAAAAGAGCAAGACCCACATTATTTCTATCTGAGGCCAAGCTGTCCTCTTTCCATGTCTTCTGTCAACTTTTATCCCAGTAAGATTGCCAGCTCTTCTGAGCAGAGTAGCCCAGGTGTTAATCTGATACCTTGTCATTTGTTTTATATCACCTGGAATTGGATTTTGAAACTATTACTCATGCTGTGTCTGTACTGGGATCGTTTCTGGAATAATGTGCTATTCTGTGTGAGTAATGGTGTTGGAATTTAGCATCTTCTTGGGAGCAAGAACATACCTTGTACTTTCTCCTTTTTGTTGTAGATAGTAAAACAAAGAACAATGTTTCCTGTCATAAACCTCAACAAACAGAATTATTCATCATAATCTATACAGGACATCATGGGAGATACTTGAAGGACTCAGGCTCAAAGTTTTAATGTGCTTAAGGCCTTCTGTATAAATGTTTTAAATAATTAAATGCCATTTATTTTTATGCATCTCTGATGGCACTTTTATCATTCAGAAATTGTCTGTTCACTGGGGTTTTCACAAATATGAAATATTCAAAAGATTAATTTTGCATTTCAGGAGAACTTCATTTGACTTTGTAGATCAAAGTTTTCTAATATTGATCTATAAGCAAACATCTTGAGACTGTATAGGCAGAGTAAATATTCAGAAAATAATGCTGTGTATTGCAGTGACTGTGAATTGACAATTAAGAGATACTTGTTTCCTTTTGAGTGATTTTTTTTTATTTAAGTGCACTTATTAAAGTTGGTGTCAGATACATGGTATAGTGAATAAAAGTTGTCCATATTTCAGTTTGTGACACCATTTCAATGGCAGTAACATTAACTGACTTTTGCCAGATGAGCACCCAGACCCCAGCATTGTCCATTACTTCATGGACATGAATCTGATGCTGGAAACTTCCACTTATTCTTTCCTGAGGTGGATAAGAAAGAACTACATGAGGTGTCAAAAGCTGGTAACTGCATTAATTTACATTACCTTGATATAGCTGAAATTATTTGTGGTTTTGATGAGTGCAAGGGAGCTGTTTGTAGGAACAGGAGGAATACCTTTGCATTTCTGGATGCTGTCCTTGCTGGATGAATGTGTTTCTAGATAACCACTAAAAGAAACAAATTCTCCCCATCTTCCTCCCTCCCGTGTGATGTTTGGAATAAAACACTACTGATTTTCTGATTGTGACTGGTTGTGTCCTTGCAGAAACCTGAGCAACAATAAGATCAAGGAGATCCGAGAGGGCGCGTTCGACGGAGCCTCGGGCGTGCAGGAGCTGATCCTGACGGAGAACCAGCTGGAGTCTGTGCATGGACGGATGTTCAGGGGCCTCTCGGGCCTGAAGACCCTGTGAGTGCAAACAAAGCCCTGCCTTTGCTCCTCTCTGAGCAGGCTGAGTGCTCAGGTGCAGCAGTGCCTGCTCAAATATCTGTTCTTGACAGCCAGTGCTACTGCTGGGCTTTGTAGCCTGCTCATGGGGGTTTCAGTATATCTCTAGTCCTGGGCAGGTTTGAGATTTGTGTGCTATTTCTGTAAAATGGACAGATTTTCACAGGACTGACATGATGGGGATCCTGTAATGTGTCAAATTTTTGCACTTCCAGTAACCTAATACTTTTATTATTTTCTTCTTTCCTGTGGAAACAAGATGAGTAGGAACATGTTTGCTATATCTTTGTCCATCCTCCTACTGTTCCGCCCAAATTGAAGCTTTGCTGTAGAAAGATAGAACTTGACTAGGTGGCTGTCAAGGAATAGGCTCTAGGAATCAAAATGCAATTAAAATCTGCAGTTTATTCATTAGCAAAAAATACTGCTTATGTTGCAAGGTATCATGACACAATTAGTTCAGTCCTTATTCAAGTGTAAAAAGAAATTCAAGTTTCATTTCATTTGTTTGGTAATGACAAATATGGAACTTTCACTGTTCCATTAACATTTTTTGTGGTTACAGCCATCTGTTCCTTAATTTAATGTATGCACTTTACTAAGGGATTTGAAAATACTGCCCATAGATATTAAGTCAGTTTTTATACTGTAAAGCAGCCTGTGGCAGTGCTCCTAAACAAAATTCAGCATTTTTTAATAAAAAGATGCTTAACATTCAAGCTATCCTGCTGCCCTGACCTACATTTCCCCCAGCTGATAAAGCAGTCTAAATATACACAGCATGATATGAGGATTTGTGAGTCTAAGTTTTCTTTTAGGAAGGGCACACAGTGCATGGTAAACCATGATATGAAACCAGAGGGTTTGGCTTGAGGGACATACATTGCTATCCATTAATTGACTTCCTTTCAGCATTAAAATAGTAATCTTTTGGAAAGGGGGTGCATTTGTCAGGGTCATGGTCCAGCTTTTCAAAGACTGTATGTTCCTGAAATATAATAAATCACTATACAGGATATATTGGCATTCAAATTCATCCATCCCATCTTGCACTTCTGCTGCCTGATACATTCCATACAGGGCAGGAGAAATGTTTCCTGCTGCTGCTAAGCCTTGTTCTCTCATTTACTACCTGTTCATTTTAGAGCTTGTGCTCTTGACCTGGCAGAGCTGTGTCTCTGTGCCCTGTGGGTCTTTCCTGACACAGTTTCACCCCAGCTGCAGTCCCAAAATTACAGAGACCGTGGTGCCTCTGGTGGTAACTGCTCAGAGACCAGTGATGCAAAAGCAGCCCAATGTTCAGCCTCAAACATGGAATGTCTGTGATGATGCTGTGAATGTTTTCCCAGCCATATCTAAACTCTCTCTGGTGATTTTCAGGTAGCTGTTGATGTAGCATTTCAGTGCCCAGCTGGCAGATACCAATCTCAGATTTAAATTCAAACTCCTAAGGGAGTCTGAATTTCCATTGTTCACTGCATGAGTTTGATCCCCAGGAGTTAACCCTCCTCAGTTTGGAGGATCAATTCACTGCAACAGCAGCACGAGCTGAATGTATTTTGTAGATCTTTGGTAGTGTGCTTTAATTACTGAATAATTTTTCACCTAAGTAGGAATATCACAACAGTGCAGTGATGTTTACAGACCCAGATATTGATTGGCATGCAGTGTAACAAATACATGAGCCTTTTTTGCAATGGAGTGAAACAAGATACTCCAGTCTTTCAGATTAATTGGTCTTTATTGTTGAGTTCATTGTTACCATAACAACTCAGAGAGATGTATCTTCCAAAACACAGCACTGATTCATTTGGTACAAGCAGCAAGCAAAGACCATTTTATAGAATGATTACTGGGTTTTCTCTGCACAATTAATGACAATAATAACATTCCAGAGCCTGTGCCAGCTCTGGAAATCTTTCCTAAGATATTCCTTAATTTTTGATGAGGATACTGTTTCCTTCCATACTTTTACAGTGTGGATTATAAAAAACATCCAGAACATGAGCAGAAGTAATGCAGCCAATATTGTTATTGTGGCACAATTCTGGCAGTCTTTCTCAATTGATCTCTGAAATACATCTCAGCTTATTCTCAGATATTTATTAAATTGAGCCTTCAGATTTTATTTCAAGTTTGTCACTAGTAATAATTCTAATTACATATTGCTTTCAGATGTGCAGCTCCCATCATCCTCTAATGTTGAGTAGAAGAGATGCATTTTAAATTCTCGATACCATGTTTACATGAATCTAACCCTCCTCTAGCTGTGTTCTACTTCAGCAATCAATAAAAACAGAACGGTTTCCAAAGCTTCTCTTGATGCCCTTGGTAAAGCACCTCCCATCCTGAAATTAGACCCCCTCCCAGTAGTTCCTAATTCCCTGTTTTAATCCTTGTAGGATGCTGAGAAGCAACTCCATCAGCTGTATAAACAACGACACCTTTGCTGGCCTGAGCTCAGTGAGGCTCCTGTCTCTGTATGACAATCACATCAGCACCATCACCCCTGGAGCCTTCAGCACTCTGGTCTCCTTGTCTACAATGTAAGTTATCTTTTTATGGATGAACATGTCATGGTGCTGTTCTGTGCTTTCCTTTGAAAAAAAACAACGTTTCAGTTTATATGGAAAACCTCATCGAGGGAAAGAAAACTCCATCCTACTGAAACCACAGGTTTGGAGGATACAAGGTGTGATAAAAAAAAAAAAATTAATAGCTTCAGCTGGAGTGGCTGAGAAGATTTGGAGGTTGCCAGCCTCAGGGAGGATGACTGCTTTGCTGTGTCATAGTCCAGTGCAGGGGAAGGTCATGTAAAACAATTTCTGCAGATTAAAAGAGTGCAGCTTATCACACACTCAGCTCCCTGAAGCTGCTTTAGTGTCAGTAGAGTCTGATTTTGTAAGAACAGCTTTCTTGGATTTCAGTTAAATTAGTTAAACATCAGAAGTCTACTAGCTAATTCTTAGATTTTCAGAGCATCTGAAGAAGACAAAATAGTAAAGTCTTACTGAATGTGAATTTTTAAATCCCAACCTAAGCTTTTATTTAATTCTCTTACACTTCTCAATCATTCTTTGAAATATTTCACAAGCTTCTTAAATACTTTTAAATGCTTTTTTAGAGTGTCCATTTTAATAAAGCACAGACTGATAAGTATGGAAAGAAAGTCTGCCTTTGGTTTCCAGCTGTGAGAGGGGACCCTGGTGTTGCTGTTAATGGAAATTGTCTGTTCTGAAAATACAGCCTAATTGTGCAGTCTAAATAAACTCTCAATCCTATTGCATTTCAGGATTGGAAAACATTTCCCATCATGTTTGGGCAAACAAAGAAGTGTTGAATCTCAGCTGCTTTGCTGCTCACACTTTTCCCTTTGCTGTGGCAACTTTTCACCAGCAAATCAGTTATCATTTTGGCATTAGCCCGTGCAGCATAAGGAACACAAAATTTTCTCTCCTTGTACATTGTGTAGTCCCAAGAGTCTCCTTGAAATTGATGGACAAAGGGAGAAACAAGCAGATTATTGACTGTTTTCAAGTCTCTGGTCAAAGCAAGTGGCACTTGCTGAAAGCTTGTTGTCACTGTGCTGCAGGCAGTGCCTGCCTGCTCCTCTCACTTGTCTCTGTGCTTCCCTCCGTGGCTCCCTTTGTACAGGGACTCCCTGAATCAGTCTGTGAAGCCCCTACGTTGCTTTCATAGAATTGTCTTTGTCATATTTTGTTAGAAAATAGCCCATTTTCTTTTTTCCTCTTGTGAGAGCAATTAAAGCTGCTACTAATTAGAATGCATTGCTTTGGCACTGATTTATAATCCTGTTGGTTCCTAGCTGTGTCTTGGTGGAAAAGTTTGTTCTTTGACATATTTTCATTCTGTGTTTGATCTATAGGCAGAAAAGGTGTGGTTTTGACTTCTTTAGACCCTGGCTTGAGGCCATGGTGATTTTTGACATATAAATGCAGAATTCAGCTTTGTCCATTTCCCAGCAGTGCTGCATTGTAGGTGGATTTATTGCATGACACCACCAGTGAAGTTAGATGGTGTGACTGCTTTCCCTGCTCAGCCCACACTTTAGGTATTGTAATGGCTCACTTCCACATCTACCAACGGGAGACAAAAATTCATGCAAAGTCCTATTTCCATTTTTATACTGGCATATTTACAGCACTAGAAGAGCATTGCTCCTTTTGTTCTTACCCTTTGTGAGTCAGTCTCGTTGATATTCTCAAAATGTGGACAGCTCTGAAAATAATGCCCTATCTAATGATTTCCAATAGAGGAAGAATTCTATTTTGTTGTTGGTCAAACTAGGCACTGTAGCATCTTAATTTGAAGTGCACATGCACTTCTTCACATGGAGAATTCAGTCATGTCTTTTAGTCCTTACACAGTCAAGGGGAGATATTTGCAAGCAGAACTGCTTTCCGTGGATTGTTATTAAAATAACTGCATGAAGCTAATGCCAGAATGACATATAACTATTCTTGTATAAACTTAACCTGAATTCCAGAATATATTTTCAACCTAATTTCAAAAACATCCAAATGTGTTCCAGCATGTTTTTCTAGCAGGTCACTAGAATCCATTTAAATAGTTAATATTCTATGACTTCTTTGCAATTTTGAAGAGGTACTTGTAGTAGGATATGCATATTTCATTCCTCAAGACTTCTGTTTCCCCTTGATTTTTAAAATACGTCTATTTCCTTGAGTAAACACTTCTGAATTTTATGTTAGTACCAAATCTCTGCTAAAAATTTGATTGCTGTATTTCTGTCTGAGTGGGTAAATCACTATTGTATGTGTAGGAACTCTGATTATTATAATGATGAGTTTTCACATCAGTTTTTCTGCCCAACATTACTGTTTCTGATTTGAGAACTCCACTTGAATAGTCAGTAAAGCTTTGGCATATAATTGGCCTTTCCAGACTTTCAATTCCATTTCAAGTCAAGTAGGAAATGTCTTTATCCATGTGATACTTTAAGAAGAGACTTCATCTTACATTTCTATCAAAAGTTGCATCACAGTCTTGCTGTGGGAAGAGCATGTATGTAGGGATGTGTGTGAACTTCCTACTGCATTAAAGCTAAAAATCCCTGTTCTGCAGTTGGAAAAGGATAAAATCCAGATTTTGTTAAAGTGGCAGAAGGACGTGTGGAATTGCTGACAAGATAAATTTGTCATTTTTTTGCCTGGAGTGATTTGAATTTTTAAATGGGAGATTTGTTTATTTATTAATTTTATCTGTAACAACCTCTTTCTTTCTTACTTCCTAAGAAAAAGCATAATCCAACTTCTGAACTAAAGAATTCAAAAATTTCACATTATATGTTAACCTACGTTTGCCACAAAGAAAAGGAGGCTCTTTGGATAGTTACTGCTGCTCAGCTAGTGAGCAGTAGCATGTTAAGTCAAAACAATCTCTTCTCTCTAGACAGGGATAATTACTGTTTTTTGATGTGGAGTGTTTTGTAGATTGAATGTTCATGAAAGTTTTTGATACGTCTTCATAAGATGCTCTCTAGATGTGCAAAATGTCCTTTACTCTCAGAGCTGCTGCTTTTCCAGAAACCTGATTATACACACCTGCTGTTTGTTTCCAGTTGTAGAGTATTTAATTCTGAGGATTTGTGTTGTGGAAGTAGCTCTGTGAATATGATCTCACTGTCTTCCATCAGTGGAACAAATGGCCTTTGAAGCACTGGCTCCCTCAGTGTCAGCGGTTTAGACATTTGGTTTAGGCACTCTGCTCATACCAGTGTATCAGTGTGGAAAATATACAAAGCATCCTGCATGTGGTCCCATTATGGATTAAAGAAAATGGAAAACAATTCAGAAGGAAAGCAGCTAGAATTAGAGTATTGCTTTCAGTGCTTTTTTGCACCTTCTGTCTGAAAGCTCTTGTGTAACCTGTTGGTTTTCTCACCTTCCTGCAGATTTGTATCTTCGTGGGAAGCAGGTGGAGTATTTTTATAAAATTGTGCTGAGTTTTCTGCTCCCCCCAGTTCTCTGTTCTTCACAATGTCCAAAGCCTGTGTTAAATCCACATGGGATTAACCCCAGAGCTCCAGGGCAGAGCCGTGATTGAAGTGGGCTGTGCTGCAGTGCTGAGAGCAGCTGTAAATCATATTGTGGCTATGTGATGTTGGCCTAGAACCTACAGAATTTAGGAGTTGCTTTCTAACTGCCCCACCTCAATTGTGCCACATGCTTTTGTCTTCAGTACTATTGTTTTCTGAAGGGATTGCTTGGCTGAAGTCCTAATGTGATTTTGGCTGCATGTTTAAGTTTGTGAAAGCATCTTGCAAGTGAAGACTTACAAGCTACTTCAGCTACTACACCTGCACTTGAAGTGCCTGTTCCTTGCCTTCAAATTTCTTGTCTTAAAATATATGCTATGATTTAAAGAAATTTCATTATCATCTTTCTTTCTGTGCTACCAAAATATTAACTCTTGAACACATTCATACATAATGTGAAAATGCCATCAATATTAGTTTAGATACTTTATTTTCCATACACAGGCCCTGACAGCTCATTCTTCTTCTGTGAGGCAACCTCAGGCTGAGGCTGTTGATTGTCCCTGTCTCTGTTCATAGCATAGTCAGCTCTCTCTTTTTACCAGGGATCTCAGCCTCTTTCCTTCATCTGAAGTTTAGTTAGGAAGGAGCTGCTAAGCCAGGCTGTGTAAGGCTCCATCCCTCTCGTGGAAGTGTCAGATGGTTGCTTTGGGGACTGCACACCACAGCACCATGCCTAGGCTGCAGCTCTGATGGAAGATATTTCAGGAGGTGGAGCTAGATTTGAAGCAGACCCCACAAAGTTCACAAGGCAGCAGAGCAGATGCTTTTCACTACAGATATCCAGACCTGAGAAAACTCCCTAAGTGGCTCAAGATGACATTTCTGCTATATATATGTACATACATACATACATAGGACTATCCTTGCTGTTTCAATAGGAGCCCCAAATTCAGCTTGCCAGTGGCTCCCTCCTGGCTCTGGTTTGTGTGGGCTGGGACAGAGGCAAAGGGGAGAGCCCATGAGAGTGCTGGGGCAGGTACAGGATCATGTTGAAGATCATGCACACATGGGTGCAGTTTATGATGTGAATTTAGACTTGGGTGTGAGCTGCAGCTTGGGTTGAATTCCACGATAAATCCAGCCCTGGTAGTGATGTAAGTGTGTTTAAATAATAATTTTAAGCACTTTGGTTTATAAACATATGTCTATATATGCATAGCTATATATATTTTAATTACAATCCCAGCCCTAATATAAAACCTGCATAGAACCTCCCAGATCTGCAGGATGGAGGAGGCTTCTCACAGGAACAGAACACAGGAAAGAGCCTGGACTTGGAGCCATTCATCTTTCTGTAGTTATTTCAGTATTTCTGTATGTTCATGTGTAATGGAATCATGTTTTGTTCCCTTTCAGTAATTTGCTGGCTAACTCCTTTAATTGTAACTGCCATTTGGCCTGGCTGGGGAAATGGCTGAGGAAGAAGAGAATTGTCAGTGGAAATCCACGTTGCTTGAAACCGTTTTTCTTAAAGGATATTCCAATCCAAGATGTAGATGTCCAGGATTTCACCTGTGATGGTAAGAAAATCTAATTAGATTTGGCACTTGTAGTAATATTGGCACCTCTGTGAGAAGGTCCCTCCCTTCCAAGCAGTGCTGCAGAGTAAACATTTTGGTTCAGTGATGAGAAGGCAGCTAGAGCTGAAGATCGTTGTTCTTTACCAGTGACATATTTTTATTCTTGATTTCCATTTTCTGAATTTCTGCTATCTACACCTAAATATTAGAATTAATTTATTGTAGACAAATGCTCTGCTTTGTCTAATCCTGGTGTTATCCTGGTCCTTCCTTACTCTTAGTTAATACTCTGAAACCAGTGGGAGTCACGCTTGCTTGGAAGGTCTTTTAGGTTTGGATACTGTTCAGGGTCACCAGTAAAAGGTGAATACAGGGAAATAAAAAAAAGACTTAGACATTATTTGAAATGACTCAGTGTTGCTTCGTGCTTTGACGGGTCTATGTGGGTTTAAAAGAAAATACCCTGACATTTCTTTCATTCTCCAGGTAGTTCTTGTCTTCTGATCAAGCAGACTTTAGAGAAACTAGTAAGGAGAAAATGGCTTGGTGAATGCCCTGCTAACTTGACTTGCAGCTTGTTAAGACCAGATAGGCTGGAGGTCCAGTTAGTCATACCTCTAAAGAGACAATAGGAGTGATAGAAGTTCCCTATTTAGAGTAAAAATTAATTCTTGTCCTAGTCAAGCAATCTGGCAACAGGCCCAGGTTCCTAAGCTCAGAGCTCAAGAGACCCAAGTTTAGTCATAAAATAATAATTCACTTTTAATTTGAGAGAAAAAGCCCCAAAACCAACCAAAATCGTGGTCCATAGATTGACATTCCACTCTTGGGAGAAAAGAAGAATCCTGGTGCACAAAATGTCATTCCACAGTTGGGAGCTTTCTCTGTCAGGCAGTAACTTGGACTTGAGGCAAATGGAAAGTAGTGGCAGGGTGTGAAACACAGAACACAAGGGAAAATGAAATATGCTGAAAAAACATGCTCTTTCTGCAGGTTTATGAAGGACTTTGAATTTTGTTTCCAGTCATTAAACTCAGTGGGAAAGAAAAGAAAAAAAAAAAATCTGTTCTGTAGTCTGGTGGTGCCTCCCCAGCCTTCTGAATGCAAATGATTCGTACCCATACAGTCAGGGGTAGTTCTGTTATCTTGTACCAGGACTTCCAGTCTTTTTCTTTCATCTCAGTGCTCATGGGTGCCTCCAGCAGAGAGAAGAAAGAACCAGATCTGTCTCAATTAGTCCTTGCATCAGTTAAAAGGCAGGAGCAGTCGGCACATACTGACGGCAGGCTGGAGCTCGGGTCTCCGTGCGGGCAGCTCGGCCGCCCGTGCTCACACACAGTTGTGCGCTTCCCCTCCCTGTCATCCCGGGAATGTGCCACTAAGTGTTTCCTTTCACATACATCGTGATCCTGCTGCAGGCATGTGCCTTATGTTTTGCAAAGCCTGTTGCTTTTGGGGAAAATCCATGCTTTAATGTTCCTAGCTTCAAAGCGTTGGTTTCTACTGCAGAAACCCTATTGTTCTTCAATTACAAGATTTAATCTTCTGTTTATGGATCTTTGAAACCATTTTTGGAGAAAGTTGATGTTTTTATGTGTGCACAGATGGATTGCCAGCCGTTGGAAGTGTGCTGCTTCAGTTTGTTGTTTGCCTGGTTATCGTTGTTAAAAACAATGAGGCTTTACTATTCAGATCATAAACAAAGTGCCAGGCTGACTTTGAAAAGTAAAAAATAAACATCCAGAAGCTGGATTTTAAAAAAGTCTCCCAAAAGGAGAGTAGATCGTGAATATCATCTGTCTAGATAAATTTAAGGGCAACATGCTGGTTGAGTTCTCCATTTCAGCTGGCATATTACGGGTGGGGGGAGGATTTGGGATTGTATTATAATTTGCAGAATTACAAAGTAGATGCTCCTTAGGAAAAAAATAATTAAAATATTTTTATTCAGTTTTTAAACTTTTCATGTTGCCTAAAGAGCTTGCATGAAGGCAGGGTGATAAAAGCATTGGATCGAGTTTAAAATGCTGCGATGGTAACCCTGGATTCAGGGTACCCCTCCCTGGTCCTTGTCACCAGTTATCTTCAGAGTGGGTGCCTTGAGCTGGAATGCTGATGTCCTCACACTCTGCCTCTCTCCCTGTGCAGGTAATGATGAGAGCAGCTGCTTGCTTTCCCCTCCTTGTCCTTCCCAGTGTACCTGTGTGGACTCCGTGGTTCGCTGCAGCAACAAAGGGCTGCGGATGCTGCCCAAGGGGATTCCCAAGGATGTGACTGAGCTGTAAGTTACCTTTTACCTATCCCCTGTCTCGAGAAGTTCATCAAACTGCATCATAGTGAGCCTTTGTGAGTCCGTGGGGGGTTTGCCTTTGACTTTAGTCATCTGTGCTTTGGTGATTCCGTATGTTCTGACCATTATTCTTGTGCTTATTTGTCCCTTGACTGAATAAATCGCTTTGTAATGGGAACAGAGTTTATCAGTCCTTGTACCCATTAATTCTGGGTGTAGGGACAAATGCATTTATTAGTATCAAATAATCCTGTAGTGCTTCTGTGAGAGCCCAAGCTCACAACAGGCAGTTCAAAGGGATGATGAAAATACGTTCCTGAGTTACGCAGCTGTGAGCTAATTGTCCTCTGAGGAGATGAAAAAAGGAAAAAAAGGAAGCTGGTGGTGGAAACAAGGAATTCTTTTCTCCAAACCTCATGAAATGGCTAAAATAACAGACAATTAGATTATATTGCAAAGTAAATTCATCCTAGTTGAGAACCATCTCTCTAGTTGTCTTTTCATCTATGCCTCACTAGGACTTTATAGTGGATTTTCTTTCCATGGAAAGAAAATATCCTGGTGGAACTGCTTGACTTAAGTAGTTGGCAGTAGAAATAGTGAGCTTTTCCCCTTTAGGCCTTTATTCAAATCTATCCCAGGTGAGTCATTACTGAAACTTGTTACAATCTCATCAACGTTTCTATGTGAAAATAATTGGTTGAGTTCGTTGGTATGTTTGATGAATTTTATAATGAACTAAAATCTGGTTCTGCTATTTTCTAGTACCTACTATTATTTTTACTCCCTTCACAGGGGAGAATGGGGTTCACATAGTTTTTGCCAGTGCTGTAGACAAATACAAGGCTTTGTTAGTGAATGAGGGTACTGGAAGTGCCTGGGGTAACTCAACACGGAAACTTTGCATTAATGAATACATCCTGTGAACACCTTTAACCAGGGCGTGGTTAACAGTGAATTGAATTAAAAGCCAATTCCTGGCCTGGATTCCTTTATATATTGCCATCAGTGTTAAGTCTGCAAGGCCATCTCTGCTCTGCTTTTGTTCAGGTGTCATTGCATTCAAATATAACTTGGCAGCAGTAAGATATCACAGATGTTACTTTGATTTCCACTGCCACTCTGAGGAATTTTTATGTTTAAATTTTGCATCTTGAGTTTTACTGATGCTGTCTGATACCCTGATGACACAGCTTTCACGAAAAAGACTAAAATTAATCTCGTATTCTTAAAAACTGCTAGATTTCTTAACCATGTCTTGGCAAATGAGGCAATAGCCTGGAACTGAGCAGTTTGAGTTCATAGGAGTTTACGTGACTGTCTTCTTCAAGGAGCCTCTTGGCTGTGCAAAGCTCTAGTTCAGCTTTCTGCTTTCCATCCAGAAATGTGTCAGCAGAACACAGACAGCCATGGACTGCCTGGCTCTGAATATTTCATATTCTGCAGATATAACCTTTGAATCTGTCCCAGCTGTCTCCAAATTCAATCCTGATCTCATTCTCCTCTCCACCAACATAAACTGAGCTCCTTATTTGTATCTACACCAAAAGATAGGTTGCAGGTACTGAAGCATAAAATCTCATGTGTTTGTGGAAACTGTGACAAGAATGAAATAAGTAACTAAAAAAATAATCAATCTTGCTTGCTTTTCTTCTGCTTACAGATTGAGATAGAGATACCACCCATAACCTGCTATATCATGCAGGTTAGGAGTTACCAGTGTGAGGTTACACATTTTTATTGTTCTGTGTTTGAGAACTGCCGTTGTTGCTGTGATAAGCAGCATCTGATGTGGAACCCAGCCTCTTGCCTCATCTTGAGGACAGCTGGAGCCTGGAATAGGGAACCCAAAAGCTTCCTGGGCACAGAGTGAAAGAGACTTGCCTTGTTCAGTTGCCCAAGCACACAGTCACGGTGCAAGGGGGTGACAAGGACATGCAGAGCCTCTTGTCCCTGTATCCTCCCTGCAGGAGGCCTGAACAGGGACAGGATTCACGGGAGCATTTCAGTGCAATTTTTATGAATGCACCAGTCTGACATTTATAACCTTCCATTGCTGACGTATTCATCTGCCAGGCACATTGGTTGCAGTGCTTTTTATTAAACTGCAGTGCTTTTGTGCAATGTGGTTTAAGGAAAAGAGCTGCCACATATCTACTTAAACCACTCTCTTGTGGCTTGAATGTAGCTTTCTCAGAAGTTTCTTTAAATTCTCTTAGAGATCTTAAAAAGTCTTAAAACAAGAATCCTTTCCTTGTAACCGGTATTAAATAGCACTGTGCAAAAATAAGCATATCTCTTGCACAAGCACAGAGGGGAAATGTTTCCCTTTCTGGGTCAAATTTCACTGTGCCTACACTCAGCAAAAAAGATCCCCAGCAAAGTTTTATTGCAGGGTGGACAGGAGACGCAGGCTCACTCCTTTCAGTGTTCATTCTGGGTTTCTGTTTCAATGTATATATAGACAAGACATGTGAAAACCATTATCTCCTTCACATTTAGAGCTTGGAATGATAGGAGACATCCCTGTGTTTGGTTTGTACCACCCTTGGGAGCAGGGATTACTTTGGCAGGGAAGGCTTCTATCAAGAACAGAGTTGAAAGATCACTAAGTGTCCTGGCTTTTCAGAGGAATGATGATGCAAGAAATTTCTATTTCCCAGCTTTTTCTTCAGAAAACCTTGTCATCATGGGCAAGCGTTCTTCCAGCTTCTTGGGAATAGGAAAATATTCTGTTGTTTCTTGCAAATTCCTCCACTGTATATTCCTCCACTGTATATTTATGTACTGCCTACATTTTTTCACCACTGTTTGCTTGCCCTGAAGAGTTGGATTTTTTGAACATATTCAGTTTTCTGCTCCAGATGTTCAGAAGTAAAATGTTCATGCAATGAGCTAGTTTGGAACTAAGCCTTGCTGCTGCTTAGTGTTTTAGGCTTTCCTTTTCTTCTATATTTTTTCGCTAAATCTGTTTGAACTAAGTTTCCCATGCTCTTTCTCCTTTTATGTATTACCTCAGTGTGTGAACACTAGATTTTTTCCTTTTATTCACAAAAGTATAGTCTATTTCTAATAAAGTCTTATCTGACAGCATCCAGCTGCTTTTATGGACCTACAGCAAATAACATTTTGCACTGGGGAAAAACATTGGAGGCAATTATGTGGACAGTGTGCACAAGCTGTAACATAATGAGCGTGGTGTGTTTTAGAATAAATATGTACCAATCATGTCATCTCTAGACTCCAAATGTTGTCATGACACCAGGCTATAGGATAGCACTGGTGGGATTGTTAGAAAAACCTGTGCTCATACATCATTGTTAGTGATTATTTTTCCTTCCATTTATATTAATGCAGGCTAATATTTGCATTACTTTTGTCATTTCTCTTTCTCTCCTCACAAACCTTCTCTTTCCCATTTCTGTTTCTTGTTCTGCCTGGTAGATTCATGTATTTGACACATCAGTTTTTATGTCTACTTGGAGGTATTTGCCACCAATCCCAACCCTTTTTTTCGAGCTTCCAAGGCAGTTGTGATTTCCTTTGACTTGTGACTAAAAACAGTGGCTGGTACCTGGGCCATGGTAATCGATTTTACAAACATGCCCACAGCAGTTTTGATAGCTGTGGAATATTGTCACAGTTTAGCACTGTTTTTCAGTTTGCCTGTCTTGCTGCTGATCAAAGGGAAACTCTGGAGTGAGATATTTGATGAAAATCATCTGCTTGAGAATGCAAATTCTCTTGCTGGTCTGACAGTTCACACTGTTTTACACGCGGACCCCAAGCACAGGCATCAGGGAATTTGTCTTTTGTAATAAAGCAGAGAAACAATGAGGTTCCATGATCCTGGTCATTTTCTGCAGAGGGGGATTCTCCCGTTGAGAGAAGGGAGAGTTCTGTAGAGGATATTTTAGTTACAGGTAAAACAGAAGAAATAATTTGCATTTCAAACATGATAGTTTAGAAAAAGTAAATAATATCAATACTATTAAATAACATGTTCAGTGACTGGTAAAGTTAGAGTACATATCAGAAAGGTGATGATAGCACTAGCAGAGACTAAAGTTTAACTTCCTTTCAAACATGGCCATGTTTCTGTGTGTCACACATGGAGATTGTTGTCTGATGTATAAATACAGCAAAACCCAGAGTCCAAATTTGCCAAAGCTTACAAAAGTTCAAGATCTATATTTGAACCTAGATCCACACTTGATTTTTGTTTCTTCTCAAGAAACTGTAATTGAAGCTCTTAAAATTCATATTTTGTGGATGTTTCATCTTTCACAGTCCAATTCTTTTCTAGACCACCATTTTTAGGAAATGAAATTTGACTCAGAATTTTTGGATACTGGGTACACATATTAAAAATTTTGGAGTGCAACTTAATTTTAGAGCTGTATAAAATTGCCAAGTATCTTGGTTTTTGTAATGTAACATTCTTTGTGGAATATTTAAAAGAAAGGTTTTGTGCCTTTTCAATTACTGCCTGAGAACTGATTTGTCTCTCCAGTTTCTCCTCTTAGCACAGATTGCCACTGAGAGCTTGACTTTATGGCTGAATAGACATCTCAGTACAAAAAGGATTCCAAGTGATTCAAATTGTTACACTGTGCTCTGGCACCTTGTGCTGGTTATATCACCTCCAATCCAAGTGGTTTCAGTACAGAAATAGCCAAGTTGGAAAAAGAGCAGCTGTCATCTTTTATGCATAGTTTTAAATGTTTTATGTGCAATGTTGGTGTGTGTGGAAGGTGCTGGATGAGCCCTGGGACTGCTGCAGGCCCTGCCCCACAGTGCCAGCCCCCCTGGCCATGTTCTAGAAGAAACCTTCCCAGGTAGGAAGGTGGTGGCTTTCTTTGAGAGCTGAACACGTATTTTGGGATTTTTTCATTTGTTTTTTTTTTTTTTTTTTTTTTTT